ATTCATCCATCCATCCATCCATCCATCCATCCCTGTCCATCCATCCATCCATCCATCCATCCATCCATCCATCCATCCCTGTCCATCCATCCATCCATCCATCCATCCATCCATCCATCCATCCATCCATCCATCCCTGTCCATCCATCCATCCATCCATCCATCCATCCCTGTCCATCCATCCCTCCGTCCGTCCATCCATCCATCCATCCATCCATCCATCCCTCCCCGCTCCCCCCGGACCCGCTGAGAGTCCCAAAAGGGAGCGGCCCTGCCGGGGACAGCGGGGTGTGACAGCTCTTGGGGCTGGGGATCCCAAACCATCGCATCCCGGATCCCAAATCATCATATCCCAATCCCAAACCATCCCAGCCCAGATCCCAAACTGCCCCACCTCAGATCCCAAACAATCCCATCCTGGATCCCAAACAATCCTATCCTGGATCCCAAACCATCGCATCCCGGATCCCAAACCATCGCATCCCAGATCCCAAACCAGCCCCACCCCAGATCCCAAACAATCCCATCCTGGATCCCAAACAATCCTATCCTGGATCCCAAATCATCCCATCCTGGATCCCAAACCAGCCCAGATCCCAAACTGCCCCACCTCAGATCCCAAACAGCCCCAGCCCAGATCCCAAATCATCACATCCTGGATCCCAAACCACCCCACCTCGGATCCCAAACCATCCCATCCAATCCCAGGCTGAAAACAGGGTGGATTTCCCCCTTTGCCCACCCCAGGAACACCCAGCAGGCCCTTCAGTGCAATCCCACAATAAAAACGGGGTGAATTTCCCATTTTCCCCATCCCCTCAGGGCAATCCCACAATAAAAACGGGGTGAATTTCCCATTTTCCCCATCCCAGGGATTCCCAGCAGACCCTTCAATGCAATCCCACAATGAGAACAGGGTGAATTTCCCATTTTCCCCATCCTCATCCCCTCAGTGCAATCCCACAATAAAAATGGGGTGAATTTCCCATTTTTCCCATTTTTCCCATTTTTCCAATTTTTCCCCATCCCCTCAGTGCAATCCCACAATAAAAACGGGGTGAATTTCCCATTTTTCCCCCCCATCTCGCTCTGGCATTACAGACAAACCCCCGCCACCATCGGAACTCGGTGCTCAGGTCCTAATTCAATCGGCCCCGGCTCATTGCGGCCGGGCTGAGCATTAAACTGAAACCCTAAGCCGGGCCTGGCTGGGCAGGAATTGATTGTGGCCATCAGCACTTTCTCCTTTTCTATGGAGTCCCCATAACCGGGTTAATTCCTGTTAATCCCATTAGCCAGGTATGGGGCCTCTCCAGAACAACGATTTTGTGTCTGACCTGAAGGATTGCAGCTGCAACCCCACAGGACACCGTGATGGAGAGGAAC